GCAGGTAACTCACAAAGTACCAAAACATCGCATGAGGTATTCCATAAAATGTGGCTGCAAATTCAAGGTAAGGCTATTTATGCGCCCTCTCTCGCCCCCCTCCAAGTTAAGCGCCCCACTCTTGCCCCCCTCCAAGTATGACTAACTGAATAATATTTTATGCTTTCAGCTTAACTTCGTGCACACGGACGCACCGCCAGGTTTTAACCCAACTTCATTTGTAAGTGGTGAGAAGTATGACGGTTGGATGGCACCAGGCGTAAGTAATTTTATACACACTGGAGGATGTAATCCCAGTAGTGAACAAGCAACGGTTTCGTTTGTAGCAAGTGGGAAACTATTCAAATGGGACAGCTTTGGACTCGAGGTGAGCAACTAATGATTTCAGAAAAGGTATATTTTATGTAGAATTTAGTGTTGTTTAGAGAGGAAGAGTGCAAAAGAGGTGAATTCAAAAACAAATTTCAATAACAAATTATATATATGCAGACGAAGAACGTCCTAGTTACCAAGGCCATGCGGAAATGCCCGACGAACGTGTTCTGGAAGTACATACTTTCGGTGTTTCCAGAAGAAGTACCCGTTACAGCCCAAACTATACATAACATCCGAGTCGTAAGTTATATCAGGATTTTTTTGTCGGTTACAGTTTTATGACACACCATACATCGTATACTTATGTTACATAACCTGTCACGCGCTAAATATGAGCTTATTTATGCATGCATTTATATTCAGTACGCTATCAAACACGCCTTAAGGGCCGACATGCGTACATGAGCTGACTCAATCATCGCAAGTCGATGAATCGATGAACGTGCAGACAAGGTCTCCTGGTAAAAAGGTTAGAGTATGTGAGATGTGCGGTGAGTCTGGGCATATTGATGGAGTGAAATGCATTTATATCAAGCGAAGGGGATACGCAATTCTCAAGTCACCGCGTGAGGATTGGAATAACGAAATACCTCAAGTACAAATCAATCGGCTCCCTAATAATGTAAGTAACAGAAACCTTGAGATGATTCCTACTCAAGGAGCGAAATGTATCACTATACTCGGATACCATTTCGATACGCATGTTTCTAAAACTATTTTCTTAGTAAAAATAATAGGGTCAGTGGATAATCTAAAACATCAAGGATTGCACTATTGAGCCAGTGCATCTGAGATTACAACTTGGATATCTAAGAAGAAAAGTGCGGTAGTTGTTGTGGCCAACAGCTAACAATGTTTCAATAAAATATACTTTGCTATTAATATATACTTACATATATTGCTATTTTTATATACTTTCATTGTTATAATTATATACTTCCATTGCTATTATTGTATACTTTCAATGCTATTATTATATACTTTCATTGCTATTATTATATACTTTCAATGCTATTATTATATACCTTCATTACTATTTTTATATACTTTCATTGCTATAGTTATATACTTTCGTTGCTATTAATATATACTTTCAATGCTATTATTATACACCTTCATTACTATTACTATATACTTTCATTGCTATTGTTATATACTTTCATTGCTATTATTATATACTTTCAAAGCTATTGTTATATACCTTCATTGTTATAATTATATACTTTCATTGCTATTATTATATACTTTCATTGCTATTATATACTTTCAT